GACTCATATAAGCTCATGTTCAGTTTGGTTGAATCATGTCTGGAAAGTGTAGTGGAGACTGTTTCTTGACTTCAGAACAGTTTCCTCACCCCAGCAGGCTTCCATCACTCAAGGAGAATGGAATTTATAGGTCAGTATTGAATTCTTGTCTCTAAATTGTACAAGGAACCTAAATGCATATAGCAGACTTCCTGCTGCACTAGATAATCCTTCAACCCACAAAGAATGGAGATCAAAGCCAGCATAGCTGTTATGTAGAACGAGGTGGCAGACACAGGCAGAATATTTTGGGTGCAAATTATATCTGGAAGCAAATAGTATATATTATAAAATGGAGTGGGGGGGGGAGATATTTGTGGGTAACAAAATAACTTGGTTTGCCTCAGGTTGGTATGTTCCTTTATTTGAGGCTGGGAGGTGGCATTTATTGCTGTGTTAATGATAGCAAAATATCTTAGGTAAATCCTGATGGTGAGGTAGGCCACCAAATATCATATGGTTGTCCCTAAAATGAGCTCATTGGCACAGCATGAGAATAGCCAATCAGCACACACCAAGAGTAGAAATTGCAAAAGTTTATTCTGTGCAGAAGAAAGGTGCAAGTGGAATATCTCCCAAAAGCAAGCGCAACTCTCAATGGGATGGGTGGGCTTATATACAATTTTGCATACAGTTTCAACAATACAGTTTTAACACTAATCACAAGGCTGCAGAAGTTACACATCTTTCATACGTCAGTAGGCTCCAAGCTTCAGCACAAGATGTGCTTCCCATAGTAACGTTCCTCTGCTATCTTACAGAAACCCCCAGTCGAGGATGTTCTCTCCCTGTATCCACGCATGTTGTTTTTCAAATTGTTCTTTCTGACAAAAAGGAAAAGATCCTTGGCAGGGCAAGATGGAGTAAGCTTAGGCTTGTACCTCAATATTAATAGAGTATTTCTATTGGTTATTCAAATGTGGGCTGGCTTTTACTCAGAAAGAATGTTTGGCCATAGCTGAATGTTTGCCCCCTCATCAAGAACTGAAAGATTTGATGTCCTATTTGTAATCCACTTCAACAGACAGTGCTATTAAACTCACCAATTATTATCCATTTACATATCCTGTCACTTAAATCCCAAATATTATGAGATAACATTTAAAAAATAGATATTTCTATATCCTCTCCAGATGACCTCACAAGAAATGCAGACGCAGTTTTGATTAGGTGATCCCTTAAGTATCCTGAGCTGTGCCACATAGGCTTTAAAAGAAATAACCAACATTTTGAATTGGGCCCAGAAACCTACTGGTAACCAGTACAAGAATCACAAAATAGGTGTTCTCTAGCAGTAGTGGGTTTCTCCTGCTAACAGTTGGCCACTGCATTCTGTACTACGTACTCCTTCTGAGTAAAGTCAGTCCCATGTAGAGTGTGTTGTAGTAATCCAGCGTAGTGATAGCATGAATCACTATCACCAGGGCTTCCAGGTCTAGGTAGGGCCACAGCTGATGGACCTGCCAAATATCACAGCCTCCATTAGTTGTTCAAGGAGCTACCAGGAATCCAGGAGGATCCACAAGTTACATACCAGCTCCTTTTGGGAAGCATGACCTCATTAAGCACAAGTACCACTGCCATTGTTTCTAGAAGACCAATATGTTTACTGATGACTAGCAACTGCATCTTACTAGGATTTAATCTGAGCTTGCTTCTCTCCATTCAGTCCCTGACGGCCTCTCCACATCAACTCAAGACTTTCATGGCATCTCCAGTTCCACCTGGGATGGCAAAGTATAATTGAGTATTATCAGTGTACTTACAATATCTCACCCCAAATCAATGGATGACATTTCCCAGTGGTTTCATATAGATGCTAAATAACATGGGGCAGAGGACTGAGCCCTATGGACCCCCTTCTATATCTCCCCCAGAGCCCATTACATTGTATGAATTCTATTTTCCAACCCAGACATCTGAAATTCTTGCAGCTGCTTATACAAGGGAGCAATCTGTGTGGTCATCCCTAGTACACATGGCTCCAGAGAGCCTCCCACTCTCCTTGCTGCTTCTGCCACTACTCCAGAGTTGTGGAGTAGTGATTTGGATTGTGGATTTTATTGGAATTGTCAAGTTGATTCAGAAATTCAACTGAATTTGAAAAAGACTTCCTCATGTGCAAAAGCCCTTCCAAATAAATTGATTTGATTTAAAGATTAAATTCTCCTTTGAATTGCTATCAAATCAATTCCTGGTGTCAAAGCTTTGCACAACTCTACTAAGGGGGTATCTCCATGCACAATATATTTATAATGTAGGACTTGAAGAAGTAGAAATACAGTTGCCAGGACTTGGAATAATTATGAAAGGAGTCATCTACCTTCAGGACATCAAGCAATAGAAGAATGAATAGTCACTAGCTTCTAAAAATACTTTTTTCATTTCCTTACAATAAAGAACAAAGAGATAAAATCCCTACCATTCATTTTCCGCATACTAACCATATTTTTTTAGAAACATAGCATGTGGACAAATGCATAAGTTAGTAATAAGTTAAAAGTGTAATAAGTTAGAATGAAGCTTCAGTGATCTTTCTAGTTTACATCTTATTACTAGTTTAGGAGAGGCAAAATGATGTTTTCATCTGGAGATTAGAATGGATTCTATGACTCCTATCTCATTATTAGAGGGTTGTGTGTTGTGGTTTCTCTTATTGCTGTAGCTGCTGAAGGTTGCAAAGATGAATTCCATTTTGTGTCCCTGAACATAAAATTATTCTGAGTTACTTTCTGTGTTTTCCAAAAAAGGTAATAAATTCTAGTCTTTTAGATGTTCTTCCTCTTTCTTCTACAGTTTGGATGTGAATCAAAGGATGCTGGAGCCAGCATGATAGTTATAAAACAGGGAAGGTGGAATATTCCAAAGTGTGAGCAATTGGTTTGTCTAAATGTAAAGCTAACTTATTGAAATGCTATTTGATACTTTGCAAACTGCATTTAGTGTGTGTTTATGTGCATATGTGCATTTCTTGCATGGGAAAAATGCATAATCTATTTTAATAAAAATATATAATGAATTTCCTTCAGTGTCTTTTGAAATAAGAGTGAACCATTTGGGAACTGTTTAGAAAACAAGGACTTAGAAACACATGGAACGATATCAGTTTTGCAGGAATAAAACTAAAGTTTGGCATGCATCTGGAACAAGATTACTTCATAAATTTTGTTCGCTGTCTGTAATATGTGGTCCCATATATGCTACGCACAGCCACATGATAATTGCGGAGGGATGCTTTTCCCCATCAAACTCAAAAACACAGCAGGGACCAGCATCTCCATCAGGCTATCTTTAGAATCCAGTTCTACAGTCTTCTGATTCAGTAGCAGATAGGCTCAGAGGTAAGAGTCACTGAAGCATAATGAGGTATAACCAGTGTTTCTCAACCTTGGTAACTTTTAAGTTGTGTGGACTTCAACTTCCAGAATTCCCCAGTCAGCCCGCTGGCTGGGGGAATTTGGGGGCTGAAGGCCACACAACTTAAAAGTTACCAAGGTTGAGAAACACTGGTTATACCTCATTATGCTTCAGTGACTCTTACCTCTGAGCCTATCTGCTACTGAATCAGAAGACTGTAGAACT